TAGCGCATTTATCGAGGCTGGCTATAGGCTATGAAACATCACGCTACGACCAAAAGGAGCTAAGCAGAGCGTGTGAAGCCTCGCGGAAGTAGCACATTCAAGTTTCACTTTTGTAACTTGAATTTGCAATTTTAAACTATCTAATATATCACTTGGTTACGTGATTGCAATTATAAGTATAAACTCAACGTTAATTTCTACTTACATGTTGTGGGCCTTTAGCAAAAGTACCTAAGAAAACTAGACCTCGACAGCCATTTTTAAATAATAGAAAAAGAATATAGATCCTAACGAGTTATCGGGGCTCCGGCTCGAAGTGCAGGAGACGGAACGGGGTGGTTTTTAGTCAGTAAGAGTCTGACACTCCCTCCCGCCTCACCCAGGCGGGAGCAGTCATTCGATGATTTTGCCCCCTTAAAAAAGCCCTAGCATAGATTTATTAGTCAAAATAGTAGGTAAATGTACTTTCATTAAATGAATCGAGACACCTTATTTCCTTAAAATATTGATGTTAAGCAATAGACAAGAAGTGACGTCACCGACACCCGGAATTGAATTTGGAATTCGAATTAAGATATTCGCTCATCTCATCGTTGAATGCCGACATTTTGTTTATAATAATTCTTGGTCTAGTTGTGTGGAAATACTTGTTTTCCGACGCAGACGTGAACGTGTTGGTAAGATATTAAAAAGGATTAAAAAATTACGACGAATTTAAAAAAAAATCCAAACAGAGAAATTAAATCTCTAACAAGAATAAAAAAGAAAAACAAAAGAAACAACAATGTTTATGAACTTTGTTTTTGCTACTTTAAGTACCTATAGAGGGTGCTGTATGGAGATAAAAGAGATTTAACGCCTAAGGCATATCTGCAATCTGAGATCGTTAACTTAGAAACATGCATGATGCACACAGAAGGGAACTACCGTAAAAAAAACCGTAGATTGTTTTTGGGTAAATTCGATTCGAATAAATCGACACGAAGAGAACTTATAAACAAACAGTTTTAACATAATGAAATGCCGTATTCGGGTATTATTTTAAGCATTTCGAATGATTCATTGAATTCTTTTTAAACGATTGGTTGCTAGTTTTCTTTAAATGATTTGATTTACTTAGGCACGTACTTCCGACATGATAAAAGCCTTGATTGCCAATAAAAAAAATATAGGGGGCAATTCTTCCAATGACTTCTCCCGTCTTAGATGAGACTAAAAACCACTGCTCTCCGAGCCGGAACCCCGGTTACCCGTTAAAACTTCCTAGCCTAGGTGGCGCTGAGTTCGAGTTTGGAAAGGTTTAATAAGTTCTTTCTCTCTCTATAGGTAAATTATGTCTGAGGATTATGGTCACCATCGGAGATAACTAAGTAATAAGTTCTTCAGTGGTTCTTATTGCCGAGTTAACTATAACCACAACATTTACACGACAAATAACAACTTGTAGATGTAATAAATCTTCCTTAAACGGGTTTTACAACTCGTTAATCATTTCAACGTTAACAATAATACCGTTTCATTATTTTTTGTGGTTTCTGAATTTGTTTTCCTAGTCAAAAAGCTTATGATATAAATTCATGTCTGTATTTATTTATATCCAAAGGACAGCCGGATTTATAGGGAAGATTATTGTGATAGTGTTCGGTGTTACATTACAATTTAGGTAGAAGGTTTTGTCTGAATTCCCAGAAGATATGAAGGCCATGTGAATCCGGATTGGGTAGTTAGTATTAGTATAAGTAGGAGCCATTAGACCTCCACAGATGGGGCTCCATAAGGCTCATGCCGATACGGAGCCACGGTGGATTTAAAAGGTTACCGGGGCTTTTAGTCAGTAAGAGTCTGACGCTCCCTCTCGCCTCAGCCGGGCCGAAGAAGTCATTGGATTTCCCCTCAAAAAATAAATTATTAGGTAGTATAGGTCATCATCATCAACAGCCTGTTTTCGTCCACTGCTGGACATAAGCCTCTCCAATGGCACGCCACTGAGCTCGGTCTTCAGCTCTACGCATCCAACCACTACCTACCCACTACTTTACGTATATCGTCACTCCACCTAGCTGGAGGGCGTCCTACACTACGTTTGCCTAGACGCGGTCTCCAGTCCAGAACACGTCTACCCCAGCCAGCGGTCATCGGTTCTTCGACAAATGTGACCGGCCCACTGCCATTTCAGGTTGCTAATCCTTGGGGCTACATCGGTAACTTTAGTTCTCTGTCGGATCACCTCGTTACGGATCCTATCCTTCAGAGATACTCCGAGCATAGCCCTCTCCATAGCTCGCTGCGCTACCTTAAATTGGTGGTCCAGTCGCACTGTTAGTGTCCACGTCTCTGTAGTATAGGTATTAATATGCAAATCATACAAGTGTAAATATTTGGCATAGGTAATGAGTTAAAAGTCCCCCAGTTACTTTCGATGATAAACTTATATATGTAGGTATGTATAACAAATAGATTATGTCTCGTTTAGTTCTAGATTGTTGCTAAACGAGTTAAAGAGAACAATATCGAAAATAGGTCAATGAGCAATAATATACCAACATAACATCACGTCCTTTCAAATTCAAATTCATTTATTGCTTGTTACATGTTGACAATCGATTTAGGCCTTTATCCTCGAAGGGGTGGGGAGAGGTTCACATAACGAAACAATTCCAGTGTACCTACAATGTAACACCCACTTATCACTATTTATGTTATGAGTCCCATCACCCATGTAATAGGGGGTGAGCCTATTGCCATATACCGGGCACATATCCAGACTCCGTGCTACTACTGGTATTTTTTAAAAACCCAGTAATACTTTGCCCTACTCGAAAATCAAAGTCGAGACCCCTTGCCCGGCAATCGCACTTCCGACCATTCTGTCAAGGGGGCAGTCAATCAGCATACTTGAAAAACGAAAGTTAAGTAGGTGCAATTGTAAAAATTAAATTAAACACCAGACATTGGTTTCAAATAAGTACCTATAGTAGACACAAGAAATACCCATCTAACCTAGATAAACGAAAATATCTAACAGTAACAAAGTAGGTGTTGAATACTGACGAAGTGTTAAATCTCAAATTGAATTTATTACCCACTTGCTTTATTTGTATTAAAGTTATTAATGTGTAAATGGCAGTAAATAAATATCTAGACAGGCTATGAAACTAGGACTTAGATATGTAAAGGAATGAGTATACTACCCATACCTAAGTATAAAGAGGGAGTGTCAGGCTCTTACTGACTAAAAACCATCCCGTTCCTACTCCTGCAATTCGAGCCGGAGCCCCGGCAACCCGGTAAGTCCTCTGCGGCTTAGTATCGACATCAGCTCTATTGGGCCCCATCCAAGCATAAAAGATAGCTTACGGTTTTTAGTGCGAGAGAGCCATGTTTACGAATAGGCCGGCTTAACCGGAGTGATACCACGGCCTTACAGAAAACCGACGTGAAACAACAGTTTGATGTGCACTTGGACTCACTTGGCAAGTTTCGCGGAAAAGTTAGGTTGATTCTTTATGGTGATGTTGCCCGAATGTAACTGTTTTATTTGTTTTGCCCATTATTTATGTTCTGATTGTAAGTATCAATTGTCTTTATTGCTCGTATCGTAAATTTAAGTTTAATATTTCATTTGTCTCCGATACTAATTCTTCTTAGTTATTTTGAATGTTAAATCCATGTCAATGGTTGGATTTGCCTGTCTCTGATCATAGTGATTTGTAAACTATTTAGTATATGTATAATGCATGTTGTGCTTACCTTTAATAGATTGATGCACTAGTTTTTAAGTTTTCGTAAATGTAACCCTATATTGTATAAGTGTAATCAATTGTTGGTGAGCCAAATCAATAAAATAAAAAATAAAAACACTTGCGTTGTGTTTCGTCGTGTGAGTCAGGTTACTGGAGGCCCACTCACCCCAATCCCTGAATCCCCAACAATTCTCAAATGCCTAACCCCCAAAAGGCCGTAAACGCACTTATAACTCCTATGGTGGTTCATATGCCTATGAGCGAAGCTGATTGCTTACCATCAGGTGATCCGTCGGCTCGTTTACCGGCTTATTCCATAAAAACGGTCATTAGCTCCTAAATGTGGTGCCAACTGACAAAGAACTGGGTGGAAAAAAGGAAGAAAGCATATTCTGGAACTCAAAAGTAGGTACACAAGAACTGAGATAACACTAACCTACCATAATGATAGAGGAGGATGGTAATGAAAATAATGAGGAAGAACCTATAAAGTGGATCATTCTGTCTCTAGATTCCTTATTTAATATGGTGCTCATACTGCTCATACATATCACTATCACTACTTATTATAAAACAAAGTCGCTATCCGTCGTCTGTCTGTCCCTATGTATGCTTAGATACTTAAAACTACGCAACGGATTTTGATGCGGTTTTATTAATAGATAGAGTATTAAGGAAGGTTTATATGTATAATACATGCATATTGCACCCGTACGAAGCCGGGGCGGGTCGCTAGTAAGTGTATAAAAACCTAAATAAATTAAATTATCCGAAGAATCCACTTTTTATTTCAAATTTTTTACTTCCGAATACTGAAACACATCTCAATTTTAAGTCGCGCTAAGTACCTATTGTCATTTGTCTGTCATTACAAATTTTTTGTATAATAACACAGATGACACAATAAGTTCAACTTAAAATTGAGCAGTCTTTCAGTTTTCAGGCGTATCTTATACTCTTATACTATCATATAAAGTTTTATACTATTATTATATAAAGCGGAAGAGTTTATTTTTTTGTTTGTTTGTTTGAACGCGCTAATCTCCGTAGCTATAAGTCTGATTTGAATAGTTCTTTTTGTGTTGGATAGCGCATTTATCGAGGATGGCTATAGGCTATAAAACATCCCGCTACGACCAATAGGAGCTGAGCAGAGCGTGTGAAACCGCGCGGAAGTAGCTAGTATTCTTGTGAAACTGTCACCAACAAGACATTTTTGGCAATTATTGTTAAAACCACCAATATTTTCTGTTACAGAATTATGTAGGCCGTTTAGAAGCACAAGACAGCAACCACCTGCTACAGAGGTACAATAGGGGGCAGCCTGTCAGCTACATCGTGCACTTCCCCATCACCTCCCCGCTGCCGAAACTGACAGCTCTCACTGTCAACGGCGACACTGTTTGTTATGGACAAGGAGGTGAGTGTCCGCATTAAATATGAGTGATCAATTGATAAATGAAGGTTTCTAACGCTACTAGGGCGATAATGTAGCTTCGAGTAACAATGCGCCATTATAACTTTTCCTCTATAACATAATATAACATCACGCCTTTTTATCCCCGAAGAGGTAGGTAGAGGTGCACATTACAGCACTTAATGCCACTGTACAATGTAACACCCACTTTTCTCTCAACCTCTTCCCTCTACTCTACAGCCGCCCTACATATATCACGCCCATAAGCCAGGAATTGATGTGTACCCACAGAAATCCAATGGATGTGGCGTATGCCCTCAGCACAGTTCACAGTGGCATATATTCGTCCAGGTCGTTCGTGAGATCCCTCGAGATAAAAAGGTTCTCGGGGCCGATGATTCCAAAGTCGCTCCCCGACACTTTATACCTGGTACACACTCAGGCAGAGAAGGAATCCCTTAAGAACCAGGGATACGGGTCGACCGTGGGATCACGCGTGCTCACGATACACGAGGCACAGGGACTTTCGTGTGCGAATGTGATTGTTGTCAACACAGCAACAAAGAAACATCAAATACATGACAGCGTACCACACGCGGTAGTAGCAATATCGCGTCACACGCATGGTTGCATCTATTACACAGACAACAGTGAAGACGCGATAAGCAAACTAATCAGGAAGGCGGCTGATGAGGGTGAGCAAGGTATTAAGGACTACAACCTGAAAATGGCCATCAAACACAGGGACGCGGCAGTCGTGGGTGCTCTCTTGGGCGGGGAGTGTTGCTTGTGATGGAACGAATGCAACATGAGGAAATGTGTGTGCAGAAACATGTAGAAATAGAATATGACCAATTGAATTTTGGACTATTGTACGCTTTATTGGAATCGGCCCATGTGGCAAGGGTTGAGGCGTCATGCACACATAAATGTCCTACAGTCGGTGGCGCTGTGTGTTGGGTTGTTCCGTTCCCAATAAAAAGGTTGACCGGACCAATTGCTGACACACACGTCATACTCGTGAACGGGTGCCTTCTGCTGGGTCAGGTCGGCTCTCCCATCGTGTTGGTGGGCTGGTTTCATAAAGCCTTTGAAATAGAAATAAATAAATAGTGCCTAATTATTATGTAACCTATACTTTTGCTAATAATTATAGATGTAGTTAATTGTAGTATGTAACTAGGTTCCCTCTTTACTTTATAAATATTGACTAGATGTATTATAATTAAAAAACTGTATGACAAGGGCACGGACCTAGAGTCCGTGGAGAAATAATCTTTAATATTATAAAAAAAAAAAAAAAAATCATGAGATTATTATTTTTTTTTTTAAGGGGGGAAAATCATCGAATGACTGCTCCCGCCTGGGTGAGGCGGGAGGGAGTGTCAGACTCTTACTGACTAAAAACCACCCCGTTCCTTCTCCTGCACGTCGAGCCGGAGCCCCGGTTACCCGTTAGGTTCTCCGCGACTCCGAATCGGCATCGGCCCTATTGGGCCCCATCTGTGGTGGTCTGATGGCTCTTTGAGGCGCGCGCGGAACGCGACGCGCCGTACGCTCGGGTCTGTTTCTGGTCGGACGGGGAGCCACCCATGCTCGCCGTCCGCAGGCCCGCGCTTACGGTGGCCGGAGATCGTCCCGCGATCCCCGACGCCCGGTGTGTCCTTCGCGATGGCTGGGTTGCGAGGAGGCAGCGCTTCGCTGCCTCGCGCGTCCCGCCTCCTCCTTAGCTAGCATACGTCATCGCGCTAAGCACTTGTAATATGATGTGTCGCCGTCCCGCGCTCTCTGCTCATGAATTAGAGTTCCGGTATGACTTGAATTGAAACTGATAGAGCTTTACTCGGAAAAATCACATGTTCTTCTTCTTCTTATAGTGCCTCTTCAATGTTGAAGGTCGGCCGTCAGCTTCTTGTATTTCTCGTTGTCGGTAGCCATGCGGAACAATTGTTCGACAGATGTAATGCCGGTCCACTTGTATACTTGTCCAAATCACATGTGTACGCCGTAATTTTTTTCATTTATTCATTTGATATTTCTATGGGTAACACTTACCTACTTTCTAATAGTTGTTCTACAAGGTCTTGTTTTAAAGCCGCGTCATTTTCTAGGAGGTAACTCGGATATCGATTCTGAGTCCGAATCAATAAAATAATATTTTAGGTAAATATAGGTAAATATTTTTCTGAAATTACGGAAATCCGTAAGTGCGAAGTTACACGCCGCCGTCTTGTAACTAGCTTTACACCGCGGCTTAACACACACAAACTCAAACACGTAATTGATATTATTCCTAATTCCATAAAACTCCAATAAGAAACATTGCTGTCGCTTATTCTGAAATACTGTCAAACTTAAACGATTTATTTTAGCCGTATTTTTAACTATTAGCCCGAAATTTTCACTTACATTGACCCTTTATGACTTCTAAGACATGCCCCCGAGAAACGACACGGTTTCAAAAAACTACACCTTGTATAGTCCCCATTTATTTATAACAATAACAATAACAATAACAATACTACAACCATATTTTTATGTAGGTAGACAACCAAAGTGTTCATTTTGTAAAGGCTTCATTGTTTGAGGAGATTCGACGACAATTTCACTTGACTTTTTCCTCCATTCGTTCCACATACTGCAATCGGCACACAAACATGACCGGCCAAGCCATGCCTGGGTTTTTCCACATTCTACAATAAATTATAGCCTCCATGCGAATTATGCATGTCATTGTAAATGTAATGTCTACCTAGAGTCCTAGATATTAAAAGTGAAATCTAAAATACCTAGGCATTAAGAGCATGGAGGCTGCCTACAACTAAAATAAATTGTGTGATGACAATACAAAAGTGGCCAACTTGATTACATATAAGTTCTACTTTTTATTATTTTCTACCTTTCTGCTTCGCACAGCACTGTCGTCGACGGTATTTCCGAACGGATACGACCTTGAAACCTTCAAGAAAAAAGCGTATTCCTTTTTAAAAGGCCGACAACGCACCTATGAATCCTCTGGTGTTGCGGGTGACCATGGGCGGTGCCTGATCGGCTTCCCTTAAAAAATCATCCAAAGAAGAGAAAATCGATGTTTTAATCAAGACCTATATATTAACAACAGCACATATCATTTCCAGATGTACCGAGACCAAACACGTACGTGACGACGCTAAGTCTCCAGCACACATCGTTCCTCCAAGGAGGTGGTCCAATATACAACAGTATTCAGCCACAATATCAAAGGCCGCAGACACGTCCACCACCACCGCCACCACAGCCGACGGTAGACCAGATATACTTCGGAGACGATGACGCCACTGCACATATTTATACGTTCAACAATGTTGAGCCATCGTGGAATAACAGTAAGAACTTTTATGTCCAACTTTTGCCTATATCTATACAGATTAATAAAATGGCAGTGTCTGTTTGTAATATTAAAATAACCGCTTTTTACGACATGCATATGAATCATACGATTCACATATCAAAATAACATATTTTACAATTTTTGTTTGACTGTCTGTCTGTTTATACTGGCTAATCTCTGGCATTGCTGCACCGATTATGCAGGACTTTTTTTGGCAGGTAGCTGATGTACTAAGGAGTAACATATTAGGCTACATTTATTTTAATAGAATTGAAAAAAGTATTGTTCTAAAAATCGTATTTAACGCGGACGAAGTTCGTGGCCAACAGCTAGTTTCTTATAAATACTGTCTTTCGTGCTGCAGAAGAATTTGATGGTTTTTATATATAGAATAGGGAATAATCGAGCTGATGAATCACCCGATGGTAAATATGCTCTGCTCTGCCTTTAGACATCCGCAACACTAGAGGAGAATTCATTCATTTGCGTAAACTCGTATGTAAATGGACGGAACACTGGATAAATTCTAGTCAGTAAGAATCTGACTATCCTCTTCGCCAAGTGGGATGCGAATACGATAGGTCATCCTGCAATCTAAAAGCATTGTTGCAAATAAATGTTCCATTCTCATTCTAACCAATACATCTCTCCATTCCAGACAACTCCCCGTACTACGTGGTGAACAACACCCGTCCCTTCACACAAGCCACGCAACAGTACCAGCCCCCCACCCAGCAGGTCTTCCAGTCCAACCCAATCTATGAATATGACCAGAATGGACCACTGCAGGTGACTTCAAGAAAGCCTGTAACTTACAGGCCTAACCCGCCTGTTTACGAGCCGATCACGAAGAGGCCAACCTACACACCTCCTCCGACAAGCCCTAACCGCAATGAGTTCTATTATCCTACTCCTGAACCGACACGACCAGCGATAACCAGGTAAGATATTTTTCATAATAACTAATTTAGTAATTTATAGCGTTGACAGGGCTGTATTTACATTTAAACTGCTCTTTTGTAATTGTTAAGATACGTCAGAGTACGGTAGCGTTGATGGCCTGGCCATTAGCGCTCTCTAGCGGCGCGGTAAGCTACTACATAGTGTTACCATACGCTAGGTATATTAATATTGGAAATAGATTTTGTCGTATGTGGGTACGTCTTTGTACCAAAAAGGACACCAGTGCAGCATGCGCAAGATAGGGTCGTGACAATCTATAATCCAATTTTATTCAGCAACATTTTGCTTCTTCAGCATCCGATGACAAATAAAGACCTCAAGTAATAAATAAAAATATTTTCTATGTTTCAGTGACGAACGGTACAACATTCAAACTACAGCTGACATGTGCGGTGAGGTCGCGGGAGGTAATGAGAGGGTCCCTCTCATCTACAATGGAAGGTCTTACGCTAGAGGAGACATTCCTTGGCTTGTGGCCATCTACAAGAGTGAAGCAGCTAATCTGCAGTTTATCTGCGGAGGAACCTTGGTTTCTGATCGGCATATTGTTACAGGTGAGTTGGACATAATTCATTATCATCATCATCTGCCTATAACTAATTGTCCTGACTGCTGAAAGCTAGCCTCTCCTCGTGCGGAGAAGGAATGCGCGTTAATCATCACGTTTGCTCAAGACGTACTGATATAAGATTATGGTGAAGATAAAAATAGTTAGGTTTCCTCGTGATTTTGAGGAAACCTGACGAATTTTATTAAGGACATAATACAACTTCTTTTTGCCCCTCGTCTCCATTCCATCGTAGATTTACCCAATAAATACAGAACTTCAATATAAAAAATTCCTTCTGCGTCACAGCGGAACTTAATGGGCATGGTATGTGTCGTTGCGCCATTGTTTCAGGTTTGTTGTTCACTCACTCAATTGTTCCCTTTGTACCTTTTGATTACTTGTATGGTCGCTTTTTAGTAATTTCTAGTTTTCATAAATTGAACATAATTTGGTGCAGAAAAAAAATGAATGAACAAAAGGGAATTGTTTATGTAATTTGATATAAGTAGGTTATGTACAGATGTAATTGTATTTCAGGTTCACTCACTATTTATAATTAAGATTGTTGTGTACGATTTCAATCTGTCGTCTGTATCTGTACTTATGTAAACTAAATAAATATATTATAAAAATAAAATAAGTATAATTGTAATTGTTCCAGCTGCCCACTGCATGCAGCGTCGAGGCGTGCAGACGAACATTAAGGACATTGTGGTGAAGATCGGAGTCCACAATCTGAATGACTGGAGTGATGATATTACGGTTACCAGGTCGTTGAGTGCGGCTTCCATTCACGAATCTTTCAATCCAGCGACACTACAAAGTAAGTGCAGTGTTAAATTCTTTGTGTCGATAAGAACTTGGAAGATTTTCGTCCGAAAAATCGGGTATTTTCAAGTAGTTCTGGCATGTATTGATAACATAGTGAATAACGATTTGATTTTGGGGTCACTACTAGTACTACTACCTAGGTACTTATAATAAAATTGGATAGATCAACACAGCAGCTTCTCATTTTTTTTTATTCATGTCCCTGGGTTCGGTGTTCCGATGTTTTCATAGTTATATCTACCGTAGATCCTGACTGGCTTACAGGAGTTGCAGAGGTTTTGGAAGGTTGTGGCGGAGTTGTTCCATAAAAAAAGATCAACACAGTAGATAAATAGACTCAAACACTTCAAACAGTCTATTTTATCTACTGTGTTCTTGTCAAAACTTTATCTACTACAGTCCATTAAATTTTATAATCTTCCATCATGATTTCTTGCAGATGACATACTGATGTTCACCCTGAACAAACGAGTTAAGTTCAACACGTACATACGCCCGGCGTGTCTGTGGGGTGATGATACAGACCAGTCCCGCATTGTCGGCGCTTCTGGAGTAGTAAGTACTTTTCTATCAAGGAAATATTCCGGGGCCTTTCTGATTGGTTTTCCATAATTCTTCAATAAATAACAATTACTAAAGCATAATGGACCCCTCCTATGGAACGTCGGCTTCGACTTGGAGATCTCTCGATTAATGAAATCAAATCTTCGAATGATTTTATATCACAAAGACAATTTTATTAGTGTTTTAAAAGAAAAAGAAATGTCTTTCATATAATGACAAAAATTGGTCCCTTTATTGATTCATTCCATCAATCGTGAAGGGTTTTTCTACAAAAGTTATGATGTTTTCATAGGTAGCCGGATGGGGAGACCAAGGTGTCGGAGGTATAGGGAAGCAGGGTGAGCCTCACATGGTGCGCATCCCCATCGTCAGTACCACCGACTGCAGAGCCAGTAAACCTCACTTCCACAAGCTTACTTACGACAGCACGCTCTGTGCAGGTACGTGGTTTTAATGAAATGTTACTACGGCAAATAATTAGTAGACACAATTACAGAGTCCCCAAGCGGTCGCCGGTGACCGCTCTTCGCTTACTCCATCATAAACCTTATTTCCGACGTTTAGAGACTATTTTCGTATGGAAAAATGACATAATGACATAACATCACGCCTTTTATCCCCGAAGGGGTAGGCAGAGGTGCACACAGAAGTAACACCCACTTTTCACTATTTATGTTATGAGTCCCATGTAGGACTATGGATAGTATGAAAAAATGTTGTGCATTTTTCGTAATCATGGATATAGAAGTTAACTGATGGTAAGCAATTGACGGTGTTCGTGGACACCTGGACACCCGCAACACGAGAGGAGTTACAAGTGCGTTGACAGTTTTATAGGGATTGTGAATTTTGACTATCATCCTTTTCGTTTCTGAAAATTGGCACAATTTTTATATTTATAACTTTATGACTTCACGCCTTTTATCCCCGAAGGGTTAGGCAGAGGTGCACATTACGGTATTTAATGCGACTGTACAATGTGACAACCACTTTTCACTATTTATGTTATGAGTCGTATAAAGGGGAGAGACTATTGCCATATACCGGGCATAACTCCAGACTCCGTGCTACTACTGAGAATGTTTTTAAAAACCCAGTAGTACTTCGCCCGACCCGAGACCCTTTGCGCGGAAGTCGCACTAGAGACCACTTGGCCAACGAAACAGGTTTTTAACTTGTATTCTCTTTTTGAGGTCTGTGGGCATTTTAATTCTAACTACCTGTCTTGCTCCATCTGTGAATTTAGCACCACTATTCGATAAATCAGCCAGTCATTTTAGAAAATGCTGTAACTTATTAATTAACTTATTTATTTTTGTCACAGGTGATCGTAATGGCGCTGGGCCTTGTGTAGGAGATTCTGGAGGAGGATTGTACCTCCTTGAGGGAGGCAAGTGGAGGCTCAGGGGAGTGGTCTCCGTGTCACTCCGAGCTGAGAACGGCGACAATACTTGTAACCTTAACGAGTATATCATCTTCACAGATACAGCGAAATACTTGAGCTGGATCAGGCGCATTTTGTCAGAAAAATATTACGATTAAAGTTTATAATATTGATTTATTTAAGACTGGAATCTTTTTGGAAAAAGAAGCCTGGGAACATTTTGTTTACAGTTTCAAATAAGTTACATAATTTTAGTTCAAAATATGGCAACATTGTTATTGTTTATTTCACATGGACTTGAGTGACCTGTCATACCAAACTCAAAAGTTGTGGGACTTCTATCAAAAGATTTTGTATTCTAAATACTCAAAAATAGTTGTGAGTAATAGATATATTGGAGTTCCCGAGTCTAATATAAACAATACAATAAATTTTGTACCTTTCCCCTGTTTTATCATAAAAGTTAAAACGTAAAAGAATAAAGTACCTAAAAATTCATAAATCAATTTAGATATTAATATAATTTAGTTTTATGGAAGTATTTTTATATAATTGAAATTTTGTAGACGAAACGACGTTCAAAAATGTGCATTTTTTATAACGATTTTTTATTTAATTTTTAGTCTTGCCATAGCCCATTGGTAATATCATATTGTTTTTAAAGATGCATAAAGACATTTTGAAAGCATTTTGCAAGTACAACGGCAATATTAAAATAGTCATATTTATTATTATATTCAATTTTCTAGGAAAATGTAATTATAGGCCTTTACTAGACAATAAGTTGAATGTAATGTCTGACTCGCCATTAAATAAATTATATTATTGTATTTTCGTTTTTTATCCTCTACATAAGTATTATACATATAGAAACCTATACCCAAGAAAAATTAAATAGTGATATAACATTTGCACTTTGTAAAGTGCAAATTGTTCTTAAATTTGACCCAAAGCGATATTCATATCCTTCTTCAATATTCATAGCCTAGCTAAACTATAAGAATTAAGAAGCTATACTGTGGGCAATGATTGGCCATGCAGTATGCTGGGCAACGGCCCTTATTAACGATTCCCACCCCACAAGGAATAACTTCGTTTTTAGCATAAAACAAGAAAAACTTCAATGTCAATGTGTATTTTTAGGTTTGAATATTATTTATTGTTAGATTGCTATGAAGCCTCGTGCTCAAAGTTGCCAGAATTAATAATAAATAGGAAAGATTTCAGAACGAATAAATCAAATGTCTAATTTGAAACTGTCAAGTTACGCGCCAAACTGCCAAACAGCTAAACAGATGTTTTGGTTTGGTTTATTATGTGATTAAACAATTTTAAATGAAATTAAATAGACACAATAAAGATGACTTGGAATAAGTTAATATGTAACATTCGGGAGCTACAGTTAGTGGGCACTTTGTCTGGAGGTCAAAGTTTTAGGTGACTTTTGATTACACTAATAAAATCGATCAATTTTGCCTAGAGGCCACAACTTTCGGCGTGGTGTTTTTATTTTAAATGATTAGAATAATCATTTTATAGCAGAACCAAACGTTATTCTTACTTTAAAATAATATATTGGACTTCTCTTTAAAAGCTTTTTCTCTCACAATAAAAAATAATGAATAACCAAACCAAATCATTCTTCTTACTTTAGATGGAAACAAAATAAAGACAACAACGAATGGATCGGCGTGTTCTCAAAAACAGTTTGGAAATTACGAGATAATAATGATCACCTACAATACCAAGTCATTGGCTCTTTACACAAAAAAGAACAGATTAAAAATAAAAAAAGCAAAAAGGTTGGTGTAGACTTTGACAAACTCCTTGAAGACTATTTTAGGCTGGATACGAATTTAGGGGAATATTATAAGCAGTGGTCGGAAAAGGATACACTGTTTGAGAAAGCCTGCCAACAGTTCTATGGTATCAGAATGCTGCGACAAGAACCAGTGGAGAATTTATTCTCATTTATTTGTAGTCAAAATAATCACATATCAAGGTAAACTGCGAAGCTAATTAATATCTTATGTCATTGTATTAAGTTCTATTTTAACACTAACAAGATTTGTTTCAGAATATCCACAATGGTAGAAAAGTTGTGCACTCATTATGGAGACAAAATATGTGAATATGAAGGTGACACATACTATGCATTCCCTGAAGTTGAGAAACTGGCTTTGCCAGAGGCAAGTATACCTAAACATAAATTAACTGCTTAACTGGCAACGGCTCTCCACAAAATCTGTTATAGACATTATTTCCAATGTTTAGGGACTACTTTTCTATGAACAAATTTTCGGTACGATATATCAATATATTAAATCTTATTATTTGCTCCTAACGTTATATTAAAGAAAAAACAAAACATATGATCAAGCTAGAAAGATTTATTCTTTACAAAATGATTTTTTAAAAATTAAATAATGCAAGTATTGGCCAATAATTAAATAACTAGAATAACAATTGAAATAATAAGAGTAAGATACAATCACCAAATACAACCGAAGCGTCCGTCATGTCCGAGAGCCAAGCGCCAAGAGACCCGAGTCTGTTGTCCTTTTTATAACCCGTCACTCGGTCTGGCTTGCCGGTTGGGGGTTTTTATGTAAGAATATCTATTTTGATAGAAAATAGGCCACATCACTCTTAAACATGGACCTTGTAGATTACAATCTCCAACTCACCTGCTTAGACTACAGAATATTGCAAACATTATTTAATGAGGCTCTTACTCGAGTAGTGGACTATCATTTACTAATAACTACTTAATATTTGTTTTCACATTTTGTAGTCTGTTTAGGCCATTAACTATCCAGGGCTTCAGATAACCCTGAGGATTATCAGGGTCATGGCTTGATGCGGTAGTAGGAATGGATTGTTTTACAGTTAGAATCGAAAGAGGCTGACACTTCATATCGCCTTACCCAAGGCGGGAAGAATTATTTAAACCCCCCCCCCCCTCTTTTATGGAATACACGGGTAAACGAGCAGATGTATCACTTGATGGTAACCAATCGCCACCGCTCATGGACACCCGCAATACTAGGGGTGTTACAAGTGCGTTTTTTTTTTTTTTTTAAGGGGGGAAAATCATCGAATGACTGCTCCCGCCTGGGTGAGGCGGAAGGGAGTGTCAGACTCTTACTGACTAAAAACCACCCCGTTCCTTCTCCTGCACGTCGAGCCGGAGCCCCGGTTACCCGTTAGGTTCTCCGCGACTCCGAATGTTTCCTGATTCGGGGAATCAGGAGTCTGGGGAGGCTGGGCCTCCAGTAACTTCACTCACACGACGAAACACAACGCAAGTGTTGTTTCACGTCGGTTTTTTGTGAGGCTGTGGTATCACTACGGTCAAACCGGCCCCTATATGTCGATCGAAGCATGGCTCTTCCACACTTTTTTAGTTAGAATAGAAAGAGTATGACACTTCTTATCTTCTCACCCAAGGCGGGAGACGTTATTTTATGGGTTTCCCGCCTTAACAAACAGGTCTTAAACTATGTTCATATTACAGGTGGAATCAGAACTACGGAACTTAGGTTTTGGGTACAGAGCCAAATTCATCCAGAAGTCAGCTGCCCAGATTGTGGAGTGGGGTGGTTTGAAGTGGTTCAACAGCTTGCAAGGCATGAAGTATAAGGATGCTAAGATGGAGTTGATGAAACTACACGGTATTGGACCTAAGGTAACTTTTTTACATATTTTTTTTTAGGGGGTAGAAAATCAACGAATGACTTCTTCAGCCTGGGTGAGGGCGAGAGGTGTCAGACTCTTACTGACTAAAAACCACCCCGTTCCTACTCCTGCACTTCGAGCCGGAACCTTGGTAACCCGTTAAGTTCTACGCTGCAATTTTTTTACATATGTCTACCTGTGTGCCAAATTTTATCCAAATCCATTCAGTAGTAACTAAAGTACATACAAACTTTTGCATTAAACATTTACATAATAATTATTATTATATTAGTAATTTGTATTGATCATATATGTTAATTTTATAAAGGTGACAGAGATAAATATGAAACTGGTTTTGAATTCTATACACAATTTAAGTTTTAATTATTTCCATACACATTCAGTAATATTTATGTACCTACTTTGTACAAATAATGAATGAAAAAAATTATGAAACTCATAATGTATATTTTATCTTACCTTTGATCCCTAAATTCCCAGGTAGCAGACTGCATATGCTTGATGTCATTGAACCACTTGGAAGCCCTGCCCGTCGACACACATGTATATCAGATCGCCGCACAGAACTATCTCCCACATTTAAAAGGAAAGAAAAGTGTCACTGAGAAGATGTATACAGAAATTGGAGACCACTTCAGAAGTTTATACGGAGACATGGCTGGATGGGCACATACTGTACGTTTCCTTATTATTCTGCTTACAGTTATAATCTCATCAAAATCCTTATAGCCGTTTTGCAGATCAAATACATACATATTTTGTTGCACATGGAGGTTCAAAACGCCCGGTTCTCATGCATTAGAATGCGGGTTTGAAACCCACCAATAGCAAGTTCCAATGTGACTTTTTCAGAGTTATATGTACTCTAACCCGTATTGAGCAAGTGTGGTGATTAATGTTCAGACCTTGTTTGTGTGAGAAGAGGCCTTTGGTCAGCAGTGGGCACTTATAGGCTGTTGATGTTGTCGCACACTGCTGTCTATATATATTTAAATAAAATAAGGAAATTTGCTGTATGCTGATAAGTGTCATTCTGTGATTTCACTCCCAAAAGTTTCACATTTTCTATATGAATTTTGTCTCAACAAGAATACGATATCTGTTTATCTTAACATATCGAGGGGTAACGGGCTATTTGGTTTAAGCGACATTTTGGGCGATATTGAGTTATATATATATTCGGAATCAGCGAATTTTTCTCCGTCGATTGATGCCGGTTTCATTAAAATCGGAGCACTTTTTTGGCGTTTCAAACAATTCTATTTTCGTGTTGTTTCCAAAGT